TTGAATTAATGATACTCCTTGCTAGTTTAGGAAAAATCAGTGCAGTCAAACTGGAACTTGTAACCACTTTGTCATCTTGGCATTTATCTTGGGGAAAGGGACAACAGTGTTCAAATGCAGCAGTGAAGTACTAGAACAAGTAGAATTTTGTTTCTAGACAGCTTCATCTGTGCTGATGGCTCCAAGAATGAGGTTAAAGGGAGATATCCATTTGACAAAATAATGGACTGATAAAGATGTTTACAAAACTTATCAACCCAATATACCAACAGTATTATACAGAGGTCTGGAAGTAGTTACAGTAAATGAGAAACATTAGAAGGCTGAATGAAATAAAGTGGAGTTCTTTGAAAGATGGCAGGTATAAAATAGAATTAAAGACCAATGAATTTAGAGTAAGGAGTGAAATCAGGGTATAGGATTGTATTTTTTCCAGTTGTAGCCAATGGTGGGACTTCATAGAAGACAAATGGATAAGATGCCAAAGAAAATAATGCAAGCACAACCAATGTCAGGTTGACCTAGAGGCAGACCTGTGACTAAATGGTGGGACACCATAGACAAGAAAATTATCATGCTGTGCTAATGGAGGAATGGTGATATTGTACTTCTCCCTGGGCCTGCAAAGCTGCTCTGAGCTGAAAGACCATTTAAACTCCACTGCTTGTAATGGTGACACCAGTAGTCCTAAAGAATTCACTTTAAGGAATCTACAAAGAGCTGAAACCTTTTCATTAAAAAAAATTAAACTTGAAGTTTCACATACCTGTACATCTGAATCAAGACTTCCAGAAATCTTTCTGATGGACAAGTACTTTATCATAAGCCTAGTTGATCTACTAACTAGGACTAAGATACAGCTACTAGTGCTCAAAGTTAGGGAGGTTATAATCCAGCTTTTTGGTCTAGTCTGTAAACTGTAGGATCAATTTGATGCAACTGGTGAATCTGGGTTAGTCAAAATTAGTGATGGAAGAGATTGTGTAGCTAAAACTAGAATACTTATGCATAGGTTTCTCCAAGCATAATATGCTTATTACATATGCATACAAAATTACTCTTGCTTTTGATTTAAAGCAGATGGCTCTAGTGTAACTCTCTAAGTGGAATGAGATTAATACATATTGGTCACCAAGATTTAAGTGTTGTAATTGACCCTAGACTTTATCTTCAGTCAACTTTTTGGTATAGACTCTACTTGGGGTTCCCCCTGGATCAGATTGGCAAAGACCTTCAGTTTTTCACTTTCCTCTGCAGCATGGGGCACAGTTGACTTGTGGGTTTAAACTAGTGAATGATTTTTTTCTATAACTTGAAATCTTTAAATCCTGATTTGAGGACTTCAGTAACACAACTAGAGGTGGTCTATTATAGGAGTGGGTGGGTGAGGTTCTGTGGCCTGTGATGTGGAGGAGATCAGGCTAGATGATCATGATGGGTCCCTTTTGGCCTTAGTCATAGTCTCTGTTGCAATGATCTCATTTATATGGCCACAAGTATCAAGTTTTTATATAGTGGTGGGAAACTAAACTGAAAAAGCAACAGGACCATCCAATTAATATTCTAGCTAAGGAAAATCTCTTGCAAACCAGCAGTGTTGGTTCCAAGATATTCTCTCCTCTCTCCCCCGCCCGTGGTCCCCCCTCACCCCCCCAGGGTAACATCCAGCATAAATGTTCAAAACTCCTGAGCAGTCCAAAATCATGACTAAACACATGGGTATTAATACTAGATTTAGGACTCCTGGTCTTTTCTATGGCTTGATCACTTTGGAACATGTTCACTTGGCTTCCAATAAGCAGCCTGGAACAACATTCTGGGTCCTCCCTTAATTGCAGTTGAACTTTTCTACACAAATTTGTGTAGAAACTTCAACAGCTGATGACTCTAAGTGCAAGACTAATAAGCAGCAGAACTTCATGTTGCTCTTGGGGGTGTCAAAGCTCTGAACCAGTATTTCTTTTTGTACTGTAACAAACTAAATTTTTCTAGACTCAAAACTGGATACTTCTGGAATTTTTTGCCGACAGCTGCCATTTTCCCACAAGAAGTCATCTCAGAAGCAGGGGGAGCAGACTACATAAGACTTCTGCCTTGGTCAGCTTTCTGAGAGTGCAGAGTCAGACACCATTAGCAGCTATCACTGACTCTGCCTCTCTTCAGTGAAGGCAGATGAGATTTTTAGTTTTCAGCCTCCCTTCCTGGTCTCCAGTAACTGGTTTGAGTGCTCCTATGCAAGAGATGCTTTATTGGCTGCCCCTGTCAGGGACTGACTAATCAGGTGGAGGAGGATGGCCCAAACACCGACTAGCCTTTTGACTAGAGCAAGGAAGGCAACAGCCGCTTTTCATGGAAATTCTCTTCCAATCTGGTCTATGGATAATCTTGCTCCAGGCTTTCAATAGCCTTGGTTTTAGTGCAATACTACGACCAACACTGCAGCTTCCACTTCTCTAGAGGAGAAAATACTTTCCTAGAAGATGTTGCAATATTACCCAGCAGAACAGCTGTATCTGAGGGCAGTAATAGGAAATCCTGAACACGTATATTTCCCAAGACTGCCAGTATGTAAAGGAGAGACCCTTATTGGCTACAGGCAACCTACACCAAAGAGCCACTTGAATGACTTCCCTTTAGGAATTTCACAATTAAGACTGAATTTTCTGCCGTTTGACATTCAAGAAATAGAAACCAAAGAGCTACATATTCATCCCACCCCATCTGCACTGAAAGTCCAATGTCAACAGCTATCAGATTACTCATAGGACTTTAGTTTTTACTAAGCTAGTCTTGATTTGCCTTCTGTGATAGAAGGCATTGGTGTTGGTGTAGCTCCTCTTCAGTGCTATAGGGAAAACCAAACTAAAACTTAATGACTCACACAGAACCTCTTAAACTTTTCATAAGGATGCTAAGGCATATTGGCTTGTAATTGTAACATTTGTCGTCTAATGTAATCAGTGTGACAATGTAGCTGTCTAGATTGGCTCTAGACACTTACTTTTAAGTCTCTGCTTTATTTTTCCCCTGGAAGCCGATTTCTATTTCCTGACTGCTTCAGCTTCCTTCAGATGGCTGACTTCTTTTTCTTTAATAAATTCTTTAAATACTGTCTCATTGTGGATGTCTTGCATATTTTGAAATCCAGTTTTGCCAGTTAAAGTACTAGTTGCGTTTATCTGATGCTTTACCCTGATCTAGTATTTCCAGATCTAGCACAGGCAGTCAAATTTTTTTGTTAAGGTCCAAATTTCCTGGGCAAGGTATAGTCAAGGTCCAGACTCCAGAGGAAACTTAAGATTATTTTTGGGGGGTCTGTTCAAAAGCCTCTGGTGGTCCAGATTTGGCCTGCAGGACACCTGTTGACTACCCCTGAACTTAGATGCTAAAATACATAGTTACTAAACAGTTACTTTCTATGTCTTTCAAACTAAATTAGGAAAACATTTAGAGCCTGATCAGGACTGCAGAGTTTGAAGATCCTCTGTAATTACTTCTTAATCAAATGAGACAGGTAGAACTGGGGGTGCTGCCTCATCCCCTGGCTTGAAGTGGCTTCCATCATATACAGGGTTTACAGTTTGGTTCAATGACTCTCTCTCAGCACCCCCACTATTCAAATTGTTCCAACACCCTTGGAGACTGTCTGTCTGACAGGGATGCTACTGTAAAACATCCTGGCTTTACCTGGATTGAGTTTTGAGAACCAGGGATCTTTAGGCTGTAAAACAACTAGATGTAGGGAACATAATAATTTCTGAATAATCATCACCTTCTAATGGTGCACAAATGATTGCCTAGGTAACTTTGATTACTTTGTAAACACATGGGGTTTAGTAGGAAACACTACAATAGTCTTTCAGCTTGCTCATATCTGTGAAGCAGAACTACCCTTGAGAATAATTAAACTAAGCAAAATGAAACTTGTAGAATTGCCTGCTGCACAGGACTCCCCTACTGAACTTTTGCTGGGTAGGTGGGTGGGCAAGCAAAAAGCCATTCCAGGACCAGGAATACTCTGAGGTGATCTACAGGAAGGGCACATACCCTTTACACTCTGGCCAAATGATGCCTCTGCCCACTACATCACATTCTTGTTGGCCCAACTAGCACAGGACCACAAATTATGGGCCTGCTTGTATAATCCCCTTGAGAAAACAATACTTATCTGGCATTTCTGCATTAATGAACAGGCATCAGATGGCATGAGAGGCTCTGAAATGGAGAGAATCTGGAGCATTTCTGCACTGAATATCAGTCCCTACATGTCATACCTAAAGTCTTGACAGATCTCTAGCTAGTCTATTGCATTATTGGTTGTCCAGATAAGAGTTCAAATCCTCCAGAAGGACACATCCATGCAGAAAAACAGGTATTTAGAGCATTAATCTTAAGGAGGAGGAGAGAAAGTGGGTAAGCTTAAATCTCAGCAAGGAGAGAATACCATCAACTTCAGGCCACAAATAACTTGTTCCCAAAACTGCAAGTGCTGCACTTTTCACCTGTGTGGAATCTGAAGCACTTACCAGTAGCTTTCCTCTTCCCCTCACTATTGTGCAATTGCAAAATGCTCACTTATTTAGCAATAGTTAAGTCCAAGTGAAATTAATCAAAATGGCAGTCTAGCCAGACTAGAAACCAACATCTGTATATCAGATAAAGCAAAAACAGCTCAGGAAGGCAATTGTATGAAATTGACATCTTGACCTCCTTGGCACACCAAGCAAATAGTGGCTAGATCTTGATCCATGTCCTGTAACTAAGCACTTAGGCTACTAACATATAATGTGAATATCTGTGACCCTTAATGGGATACATTAAAATGCCTTTCCTGGAAGGTCTGCAGCTAGAACTCCTCATGTGAAATCTAACTTCTTTACTGGCTTCTATATAGTGGGGCTATGGCATGTACACTTTTAATAGTCTTAATCTGGTGACCTTTTAAATAACTGAATGGAATATTGGCAGTTTAACTAAAGTAGTTCATTTCCTTCCTCAAGGCGAAGTATTATGCCGACCTGTTGATCACTGTTTGGACATCCAGCAACACAGCAAGTATCCCCTTCTGGAGTTGAGGCTGGCCTCCATCTCACAATGTCTAACGAAGTAGAAACCACTAATATCAACAACCAGCCTGAGCAGCAGGCAGCACCAAAAGCTCCTGCATCAAAGAAGGAGAAAAAGAAGGGTAAGCAATTCATCTCTCCAACACTAAGTTACCTCATATGCCGCCTGTGACTTTCTTATTGTTCCTTTAATAGCTCTTCAAAATATCACTTGAGGGAACGCTTTCAAATAGCAACTGCTCTGAATGCATGTCCAGAACTTTAGCATAACCCCTCAAGGGACTGGCTGGTCTGTTTTTGTGTGTGTGTTTTTTTTTTCTTGGGGGGAGGAGTAGGTAATCAATACTAGCCAAGATGTTCAGAAAAGATGTCTGAATCCTTAATGCTGCTAAGTGGTTCACTTCCATAGTGCTGAGCATCTAACCATTGCCACTGATGGCTTAATCTCCCAGAAGCTATTGGCACTTGCCCATAACCCTTTCCTTCTGAAAAGGCTGCTGCATTTAATACCAGACTTAAACCCCATTGCCTACAAAACTTCTGCCAAATCCCAAAAGCTTAAGTCATGATCAGCTAGATAGCCTCAGTTCTAGGAAGCTGACTCAGCAACAGATTTAAATCCTCTGCACTTTCACCTGTAAGGGTTTTTAAATAGTGTGCTCCCAACTACAGAACACTCTGAATGACCAAAGTGGTGTGTGGGGGGGTTTTTTTTATAGGAGTTGAGACCAACATATATTGAAAACTGATCCCTAGAATTGACTGGCTCAGAAGTTTATTGCTAACTCTTGCTAGTTCGGAATAGAATCTCTGTTCACATGCACCACCGCCTCTGGGTAACAGTAGAGAGCATCTGTGTTATGGGGGCAAGGAAAGGTCTTGCATTAAGCAAGCATACACCCAAGCCACGGCACCAATTTTGCCTTACTTAACTCCACTGGCAGTTCCTTTAGAGGTCTGTGAGTAATTTGGTCTACAGCACTGACTGACTCAACCTGCTACAACAGTCCATGGTCTGGCACCCTATAGATGCAAGTTTACACTTCCTCAGATTATAACATGGTTAGAGTTTTGGCTTATTACCACTCCCTTACATCAGCCTAGCATAGATCTAAGGTCCTCCTTCACTATTCTGTGTCATCCAGGTGCCAGTGAACCCCTTGACTGCTTGTACCACTTTTAATTACACCCTTTTAATGTTCCTCCAAAATATTGGTTTAAACAGCTTCCACTTTCTCATGGATAACTATCTTAATCAGGTAAGTATGAAAGTTAGAAAACTGGAAAAGCTGTTTGATCTTGTCCCTTATGCAAAGAGTTGGTTAGAGGATGAGTCATGTGACCTTCCCCTAGGTGAAGGAGCCAACACAAAGTAGTACAATAGAATAAAACTGCATTCCTGGAGATGGCTGACTTGCAGAAATAACAAGTCCAGAACATAGCTGAAGATATGACTCGAACATCAAATGCTGCTGATGGAGCAGTATAGTTTCATTATGCTTGACAAATGCCCAATCTATATTCCAGCATGCATGGGTAGGGTAGACTAGGAGATTGGGTTATATACATGCAATAGCTTGACCAAATGATTACTACTGGATCCTATAAAAGGACCTGTCAGAGTTGAACTTGTTCACACTCTACTCAACTTTCATGGCAGTGCAAGAGATTCTAGCAAACCTTAAATACTGCAGTGATACTCTCCCCTAACTTTTTAGAGTCCATAAAACCTAAAATAATTCTAAGGTGGCAGAGAGGAAGCAACTTGAGTAACTGCAAGATCTTAAATGAATATAGGTTATTCCTAAACCTGCAGCTGTCTTCAAAGGAATAGCTCACTGTTCCAGAACAGTGCTTAAAAATCAAACTCTTAATTTAGAACTAGAAACCTTCTCCAGTTCAGATTCTGGTAATCTGGATGGTGGAGTCAATTTCATGTCTGCACATCATTCTACACACACCATTCCACATACAGGTTTGGCCACTCTGTTTTGGTGTGGTGTTTGCATTTTGGTTTTTCTTGGTGCCTAACACTTACCTCCTGAAATTCAGAGGTGTTAATACCTGCTGGTAGATTACCTTTAAGCAGCCAGAATCAAACATTAGCCTTGGTTTATAGTAGTGTCCAAATACTTGATTTTCATAGTCTGAAGCACAACAAAGTTGTGCTGTCTATGAACTCTAGCAGGACTGAAGTCTGTTTCTGTCTACCTTTATTAATCACTTGAAATATGATCCATCAATCTTGTACACAACACTTCTGGTCACTAAAAGTTAACGTATGAACATTCTCACTGTAGAATGGAAGAGTAATCTAATTGATTATAGACCAAGAGATTTTTCTGCAGCGTCAGTGCTTGGTATCAAACAGGATTTCTGCTCCAGAACCAGGGATACTCTACCTGTTTAGTAGAGGGAGGGGGGGAACTCTTGCCTTGTCACTTTGTGACTTAATAGATGCCAAGACCTAAGGCAGGGGTGAAAGTAATAAGAAATTCTTACCAGTACAGGGGCCAGCTCTGGAAGGGGCAGGGCCTCCTGCAGAAGGGGCAGGGCTGGAAGTCAGCCTCCCCCAGCCAGCCCATCTGCACTGCCTGGCCCCCACCATCCAGGGCTCCAGCAGCAGTTTAAAAGGGCCTGGGGCTCCAGCCACTGCTGCAGTAGCAGCAGCAGGAGCCCCAGGCCCTCTTAAATTGCCAGCCCCAGGGCAGCTGCCCTTTGGCCCCTCTCATTGGCAGCCTGGGGAGGCAATAACATTAACGTGCTGCCTCAGGGCCCCTTTTGCCTCCCCCCATGGGCAGCCCCACCAGTAGGAGCCATTCCAGCAGGGCCACCAAGGCATGGAAGTGCTGCCACAGCAGCACTTACAGAGGGTCCTTTGCCACAGCAGCACTTTAACTTTGCCTGCCCCACACCTCCCCATCAGCAGCCCTGCCAGTACAGACCCTACCAGCAGGGCTGTCACCAAGGGAGGCAAAAGGGGCAGGGATGTTAAAGCATGGGCTGCATACAGGCCCATACCCACCTGTACCAGGTCACTTTCACCCCTGACCTAAGGTAATATGTCCATTTCAAGATCTAGAACAGGGGTAGGCAACCTATGGCATGCATGCAAAAGGCAGCACACAAGCTCTTCCAGTGGCACTCACTGCCTGGGTCCTGGCCACCAGTCCCAGGGGCTCTGCTTCTGGCCTGGGATTCCATCCACCAGCCCTCTGCCAGCCAGGGTTCTGTCTGCCGGCTCCACTGCTGGCCTGGGGTACCTGCTGCCAGGCCCAGGTCCTGGCCACCAGTCTGGGGGCCTCTACTGTGGCCTGGGCAGTGAGGGTTGCAGACAGGGCCAAGAGGGGGCGCAGCTCAGCATGGATCATATGGATTCTTATTACTGGCACACGAAACCTTAAATTCGAGTGAATAAACTAAGACCTGCATACCACTTCTGAAAGGTTGTCGACCCTGATTTAGAAAGTCTGTAGTATAACCTTGTTTACCTTCAGAAGCTTAAAATTGCACTTGATGGGCAGAAGCAACTTAGGTTAGAGAATCAATATAACTAGCCTTAAACTGAGGTCTCCTATTGCTTCCCCACAATTCTAAATCGCCATCTAATAAACAATGGGACCCAACAGTACAAGAGTATTGGACACTCCCAGTTACCCAATATCTCAAAAGCAATATTAAAACATATAGCTCATGTAAATGTATGTTAGCAGCAGACTAGAATGGATTAGAAAATGAATGACAAAGCACTCTCCTCAGACTAGACACTTAAGCTCTGAACACCATCATTTAAAAGCTTCTTATCTATCTTTCAGGATCAGAGAAAACAGATGAATTTCTTTTGGCCAGATTCAAAGGGGATGGTGTAAGATACAAAGCCAAGCTGATTGGCATTGATGATGTTCCAGAAGCAAGAGGAGACAAAATGAGCCAGGATTCAATGATGAAGCTGAAGGTAAAGGCCTGAACTTGACCTTTTTAAGCAGACATGCATGCTATTCAGTAGGCAGGATATAGTGGTCAAAGGCACACCATGCCACAACTCCCACTGCATATCAAAAGTAACATCAAGCAATGACCACACTTCAGTGTGATACAGGTGCACAAATCCTAACTGGAGGAAAGATGCCACTCCAATCAAAAGATTAGCAGAGCTAATGAAGGGAAGGAAGCAGCCCAAAACTACAATGAGCAACTGTTTAATCTGAAAATTGCTCTGCAAATATTTTGTAATCCATATAGCTCTTAGCATCTTCCAGTTCAGATGCAGGTTGGTGAGCCAAAATCAAATCCCAAACTTGGAGAATTTAAACTCCCTGGAAGGGAGTGAAGGTGGCAGGGAGAATTTTCATAGCAGTTGTAAAAACTCCAAATTGGATTAGTAAAAACATGTATTTATTTTAGTTACGGTAGTAGTGGATGCATGTTCTTCTAGCAATTCAAAAATGCTCAATAAAACCTTAGTCTTATGACCTTTAGCAACAAAGTCTGGAGAATAATGCAGGCAAAGCAGAGTGAACTACAAAGCTACAAGTCAGCAACATTAAGCATGTTCAGATTTACATGCCTCTGGGCTCATATCAGCCTCTTCAGTACTAATAACGTGGTCTCTCTTGTTGGGCAGTATGGATAGGCAACTGATCTCAGTCACCTGTTTCCTTTAAACCAGGAAGGGACTTGGCCTAGTAAAGATATTGCCCCGATAGCACCTCTGTCAAAAGGAGCTACATAAATTAAGTCTGCTTTAAACCTCTTCCAAGCTTACCCTAGTGCAGGTGGGGGAACAATCTTGAGAACCTAAAACTCCAGTATTTTGTCTACTAACAGGGGTGCATAATAAAACTTAATCTCTGGTGTAGACAAGTGGCCAAATTCAGCTGATTTGCAGCCTCACTGAGGTCTCTAGGTTACACAAATCTAAACTGAAACACAACTTTTATGCTTTGAATATCTGGGAACAAATTTGGCTCAAGCTGACAACATTGGTACTCAGCAAGTTTAAATTGCATAAATCTCATACTAATAACACTCCTGTTCATTTAGGGAATGGCAGTAGCTGCCCGCTCCCAGGGACAGCACAAACAGAAGATCTGGGTGAACATCTCCCTTTCTGGTATCAAGATAATTGATGAGAAAACTGGGGTAAGAATTCAAAACTGGCTATGTGCATGACCATTAAGACTGCAGCTGTTCTTACTGGAGAAGAGAAGAAACTAACTTAGCAACTGCTTCACCTAAAATTTAAAGACCAGGAAAGTTTTTTCTACCATGTGGAACACCTCTGTGAGGACTCTCTTCTATGGGGAAAGTAGGAGCTAATCTGTATCTACTTGATTTTTTTTTCCCCCTCCTTTGGAGGGAGAGGGAGGGAGTTGGATCCTGTCTGACCTCTTTAGGCACTAATAGCCTGGCACCATTCTGTCATGTTTCTAGGGATACAGAGCATGCCAAACCTTAATGCTTGCAAACCCCTTGGATATTGCCCTGTCCACTTTTTACAGATTTGATAATCTGAGCTCACTTAGGTCTTTATTGTACATAAGCACTTGAGGAAAGTCACTGCCATCCCATAGTTTTCTCTGTGTACTCTAGTTCTGTTCTGCACCAAACCATGGTTTTGTCACTCTTTCAAAAGACTGGAACTAATTGCTTTCAATTCTAGGTCATAGAACATGAGCATCCAGTGAACAAAATCTCCTTTATTGCTCGGGATGTCACTGACAACCGTGCATTTGGATATGTTTGCGGAGGAGAAGGACAGCATCAGTTTTTTGCCATAAAAACAGCACAACAGGTATGAATTAAGGGATCTGTTGGGCATTAAGGTCCTCCTGTGTGACCTGCAGGCCAACTTTTGGGCATATTACTTATGCTTTTCTACATCTCAATAAATCAATCCTATCCCAAACTGTTTTATGAAGCCCATAGACCACTCCAAACAGAGCTGACTCAGCTTTTAAAGACCAGTTTGAAGAAACAAGAAGCCTATTCAACAGGCTGTCTCTCAAAATAGAAATGGAGTAACTCCTTACAATGGAGAGTATCAGTTGAGGAATAACATTCCATGTCTTGCTGATTTAAGAATTTCTCACTGCAGCATGACATGGTGTTTAACCCACCACAGAGATGTAAGTTACTGAAGTGGCTGGAGCTTGCTTTAGGCACTGGGAACACTGGGTTATTTCTTGCATTTTAGCATGCAAAGTTCTGCGGCTGGCCAAAGGAGCCCCTCTCCTCTCAATGGAGAGCAACTTAAACATGTGCACACCAATAAATTTTGTATTCATGGCCAGGAGCTCTGGTCTGCACTCTTAAAAGTGGGAATAAAGAATTGTTAAAAGGCCAGCACAAATGGCAGTGTCTGAGCTCAAGTGCAGACTTGTGGATGTGTTAATCCTGCAAGTTTGACTAGTTCCGACTTTGCTGTTCCTGTCTAACACAACTTCTACTAATGACAAGCCATATCTCCAGCTTCTCAAAGTTTCATGTCTGGCTCATGGGGCACTGCTTTTTCTCCTCTCTTCCTCTTCCCCACCCCCAAAAAGAGAGAAAGCTGGAACAAACAGGTGACAGGACCTGGTGTGAACTTTCCCAGAAACAGAGTATCCTTTTGGAAGGCTTATGCAATTGTCAAGAGTGATGGCTTGTCTGGGCTCTCCACCTACTGTCTCAGGATCCTTGGGGCAAGCTCATTTGCTAATGCCTGCTTAAATGCTGGCTTAATCACTGACTCTTGTTTTTATAGGTGCAGCTGGTAACACTGGCTAAAGTTTCCCAGCACTACCCATTATAAGGCCATTTTCAGTTCCTTATAACTTGAAACTGTACATCCTGGGTGTCTAAGGCTGAGTTTTGGGAAAACTTCAGCCCATGCTGTTCCTCAGTTGCCAAGAACAAGGCAGGGGAGGAGAGGAATGGATGGGAAGAAATCTATTCTGTCCTTAAATTCTGGTGACCTTTGGAGCAAGGACTCAAAATTTGGCAGGGAGTAGCCTTTTTGCCGTCTCTGAAAATCTGAACAAAATTGGCCACATTTAACAGGGTGGTTTTTTTAAGAGCTTATCTGAGCTTGTGCAAGTACTCCCCAAAGATTCTGTGCATACTAGCCATTCTCAGACTTTTCTGCAACTGTAGTTCTGAGCTATTCTAGGCTGAGTCCAGGCTCTCCGTTCAGGTAGTATCTCTGCGCTTCATCCCCTACCCACCCTTATGCCCCAGGCAGTGTGCAGGAAGCTTCCTAACCTACGTGTAGAAGGAACAAGAGTCAGACCTTCCCAGGGTCATGTGTGGCAGCAGCACAGATACCATACAATATAATCAAGACTCTCTCTCTCACTTAGCACCCTTCTGCATATACCTTAAGTTTTCAGAGGCAACCCTAATTCTGGCATTTCTTCCCTTTGAGAGGTTGACTTGGCATGTGAAGCTGTGGCACAACTGTGGCTCTGCTGCTGTAGTATAGACCTGTCCTAAACCAGTGGGAAAAACCTTTCACAGAGGTAGATTATCTACATGGGAGGCAATTCATTGGCTGACAAACTTGCTTCCATCTAGCTGCACCTGCCACAGGGGTTAGGCTGACCAAACTACATGGTGTTTTATAGCACACATTTTTCATGACCCTGAGATAGGTGAAGATCAGGCCTTAATGTTTTCTACAGGGATTTTGTGATTCTCTGAACAATATAGTTTAGCTTTAAATGCAACACTTTATCTCCTGAACACCGTCTGAAGTCTTGATGTGGAGAGCAATGGGGGGGGGGGGGGCTTGGAGGAACAAATGGCTTTAGAATCGCCTTTCCTGCAACCCCTTTGAGGAGATTTTCTAGCTAAAATGAACAAAGCAAAACCTAGCAAGCCTGCTCCTTTAGTCTCTTACCCATGAAGTGAGGGCAAATGGGCATCATCTGTTCCAGGTAGACTTATGCAGCCAGCAAATTCTAAATGAATAAAATTGGAAAGCCCTCAAGAAGGGAGGAGCATGTAGAAGGGAAAACAGCTCAAATCCTAAAACTGAGCATGGACCAGCCAGTTCTACTCTAGCCTCTGGTAGAAAACAGGGAGGACAGCAAACATGGATCAGCTGGGTGCAGCAATAAGTGCCTGAGAAAGGGGTACCTTTTCCCACCTGCAGGCTTCACCCATGATTATCAGCCTCTCTTAATAAAAAGCCTGCATTAGCACATCGTCCTTTTGCTGAAAACAAGGTGTACATATTCCCAGAACATTCCTAGCAATGTACCAAGGAAGGCACAGTTCTTACCCTGGACAGTTTGCAAGAGATACAGGTCAGGCACCATTGCCCTTGGACTAAGCACAGAAGTGCTGCTTCCTGTTTATACACTAAAGGTGAAGTTCTCTTCATTACATGTCTTACTGTTCTCACTCTTGGCTTCCCTTACTATTGCAGGTTTCAGAGGAGCAGCCGTGTTAGTCTGTGTAAGCAAAAAGAAAAAGGAGGACTTGTGGCACCTTAGAGACAAACAAATTTATTTTAGCATAAGCTTTCATGAGCACGGAAGCTTATGCTCAAATTTGTTTGTCTCTAAGGTGCCACAAGTCCTCCTTTTTCTTTTTGCTTACTATTGCATTTTAATAAAAGGGGACCAAAGGGGAGGTAATGGCAAGTGAGACTTGGTTTCAGTGTATTCAAACACCTTTCAGTAAGCTTCATGATAAAGCAGTTGGCCTGGAAATTGATACCATTCCTATAGGCAACTACTAACTCAGCTAATACAGCTCATAAATAAGGGCAAGCCACCAATTGGAAAACCTTCTCTGCAGAAACCTAAAGTATAAAACTTTCCCTTTCAGGCTGAACCTCTAGTAGTTGATCTTAAGGACCTCTTCCAAGTAATTTATAACATCAAGAAAAAGGAAGAAGAGGATAAGAAAAAGGCAAGTAACTTCTGTGTTAGTCAGAGATCCTTTAGGTAGGCAGACTCTGTTGGCAAATAGTTGCTTATCAAAATAACTACCTTTGTGTTCGGCATTACCATATTTCAACTCCGTATTGCCCAGTAGCTAAACTGACTGCTATGTAACTTGTAGTAGCACTGAAGCACTACTAGCTTTGTGCATAGGACTATTGCATACATGTCAAAAGATTAAATTTAAATACACATACAAGTAGTTAAGATGCATAGTGATCCAAGATTCTCAGGTTATAAATAAAACTCTTCTATTTGACTAGATCAGTAAATGTGCAAACTAGATTGGAGAGGCTAGCACTTCAGTGTTAGTTTTATGTTAGATGTTTCATGTCAACATTTATAATTTGTCCTTAGCTTTTGGCAGCATTTGCTTTACTACCAGAGCAGTCTAGCTGAGCATGTTCAAAGTCCTCCTCTAATAGTTTCAAAAGCTGCAGAGTTCTTTACAGAAAGGAATCTGACCTTCTGCCAATCAAGTAATGGCCAGATGCTAATGTATACTATATATTTTTTTTTCAATCTTAGAATGAAGAAGCCAATAAGACAGTTGAGGTAAAACTTTACTCTTTCAATCTGAGTAATACATGCACTCTAAACAAGTGAGATTCTAACTGTTGCCTTCTCCTTCATATACTGTCTACCTAGCAAGTACAGTTGGAAGCAACAACTCAGAACGTGCAACTAGTACTATAGAGCAATACAAAGGGTCTTACCTCTTCACAGCACTAACAGCCTAGACCTAGTCCATCCTCTCCCTCTATGGCAATTCATAAATCAGTCAACCTGAATAATCACTAGAATAAGATGCTTATTTCAAACTTGTCTTAGCACTAACATGGTCTTTATTTTTCACTTCCAGAATGGTAGTGATGCATTGACTGATCAAGTTGACAAACTAAAACTGGTATGTTGACACAATGCTCACTTGAGTATGCGTACTTGAGCTTCCTTAAACTACATAGCAGATCTTAGCAGTTTCTAAGGATGCACATGTATGAAACAATTTGTCTCACTAGAGTAAACTACCTCCTTGGGTTAAAAGTGGAATATCTTAGACTTTGACTTAATATGTTTGTACTCTGCTGGTCTTAAAAGCTTACATCAGTGTGGTGAAATCATTGCCTTACACAGAATATGAACCTCTTCCAAATTAACTTTTTTTTTTTAAGGGTGTTGACCAGATGGATTTGTTTGGCGATATGTCCACTCCTCCTGACCTGAACAGTCCTACAGTAAGTAAAGACCTTTCTTGCAGTACAATAGTTGCTTGCTAGTCTATTTTGTGACACACATTACTCAAGGTGAGACTTCAGATTGACCTGATGTTGCAGTTAACCTCACAACTAGAAATAAAGACAACTGCTGCAAAAGTAGCTTTGCCACTAACTGGAAGGAGTAAAAATTCAAATTTCATCCTCTTACGTTAGATCTCATAGGAAGCCTGTTCCTATTATAAAATCTCCATTGTGGCAGTAGTTTGTTCCCTCTATCATTGCATAACCATCTTCATCCATGTCTGTTTGCCTTTAGTGATATCAGCTACTGAAGTTCCGTAGCTATAAATGGCAGGCAGACTTGCAGTACCACACACAATTTTCAACACCTTTTTTTTTATGGTATTCATACGAAACTTGGCATTTTATAACTTTTTATCTATGCAATGACTTTCAAGTGCTACACGTAAGATGCTGGCAAAAGAATTGAACAAATCTCAGGTCCCTTGCCCAGAATAGGCTCTATGGCCTCTCGAATCTGTCCGATGCTGCTCCTCTACAGGAGAGGTGGGGCTCTTCAAACTTGCTGTACTGCCCCCTCACCCACAATGACTTCATAATCCACAGGCCTCACTTATTACTGACTTGTGAAATTAAAGAACTCTGCCAAAATAAACTCTGCTAAGCTTACTCAAGCACAACCTACAGTGTTAATGGCATACTGCGATGTAAGTTACATTGCAAATACCCTATTGATTCAGAGAGTGGCTGGTGTCTCCCTTAAGGTGCCATCCTAATCACTCATGCAAGCATAGTCTAACAGAAAAATGGCACTGTCTAGGCAGACTGCTACTGATCTGCATAAATACTACACTTGAGTTTCATATCTTCTGGAGTCAATACGCTGCCTTAGCAGTGCCTTCATATTTTAAGTTTGTTATGAGAGTCCCTATAAAGCAAACTGTAAATGGCTATAACTTACTGACTTGTGGAGAGGAGATCTGCAGGATTTGAACTTAAGCTATGCATGGCTCAAACACTTCTGTCTTCAGGACAGACTAAGCACTGCCCTGTAAGTGCTATGAAACCAGCTATCCAGATGGGAGCCCTCTTATTCCAATAGCATCAGAGGGCTGTTGTAGTGAAAGTGTAAAATCACAAGGGCAAAGTTAGAGGTGTGTGTGTGTGTGTATATATTATACACAAATATACATACCTGGCTCCTAAGCCTGTCGAGCTTTTTTTCTAACTGTAAAACAAAGTTGAGATCACCAGACTTCCTGGTAATGAACATGAAGTGTTAGATACCAGTTGTTTGGGTTTTATTTTCTGCACGGTAAAGATTGAACACATTACATGGCTTGCATCTTTTTCAGTCTTCAACTAACTTTACTTTTTTTCTTTCCAAACTAATAGGAGAGTAAAGATATCCTGTTAGTGGATCTAAACTCTGAAATCGAGAACAATCAGACTTGTGTAAAAGAGAGTCCCTTCTTGAATGGCATCACTTCCTCTCTTCCACGACCAAAGTCACAGACCCCTTTCTTGCCTGAAAGTTCTCTCACTACCAGTCTCAGCTTCTTTCCCATTCCCAATCCAGATCCTTTCAGTGATGATCCTTTCGCACAACCAGACCAATCTGCACAACCTTCATTTGATTCTTTAAAATCTTCACTTCAGAAGAAGGAAAGTCTGAGCTTCTTGGGTAACGGTGCAGTAAATGGTGATATTGACTACTTTGGTAAAGAGTTTGATCAGATTTCTAATAGAACTGGCAAACAGGAAATACAGACAAGCCAGTGGCTTCTTGAGAGTAAGCCAAAGCAGCTAGCAGCAAGGACCCAAAATGGGGTACCAGAAAGAGAACAGAATGGTTTTCTGACCAAATCCTCATCAAATCTATTTGCGGAAAGCCCTTCCAAAGGATTATCTCTGCAAAATGGAGTAAAGCTGGACTCTGACAGCAATGTCCAGCTCATGTCACATGACTCCATAACAATTAGCCCACCTCCACAAAGTACCAAGCCAGGAAGAGGAAGGAGGACTGTTCAGGTGAACATCTTCAAATATTTAATGGTGACATGCATGCTGTTAGATGGGCTGGGTGAAGGAAGCTTTCCTTTTTCTTACCAAAATATGGTGATACCTGCTAAACTATTCCTGCTACTCTACAACACAACTTTTTTTCTTCAATTCTATTCCACCCACCATGTTCCCTCTGCAATCCATGTTTTCTGATTTCATGTGTACATTCATAATGGTTATCACTAAATATGCACTTTTTTCTTTTCAATGCTGCCATACTTCACTAACTCTGGTAAGTATTTTGATCTGAAATGTATGTAGTACTTGTAAATGTATTTAGTATTTAAATAAAGCAACTGTCAAAAAGGTGCCTGTCAGAACAATGTACAATTCTGAAACTCAGCAGTAAATTCATTCACCCTCCAGCAGACAATAGTCAAAAGAATACCTTTAAGTTTTCTTAAGTCCATACAGTACATATTTATTCTAGAAGACTTTAGAGAACACTGCACTCTGCAGCAAGCTCAAGGCAATCTTTCATAGTGCCTTCTGATTGGTCTATATAAAGTTCTTATTCTACCTATTTGTAGATGACTAAAACTGCCATAAGGGTACTTCTAATGTGAGGTTATTTCACATAACTTTTTGGCTATATGATGTGAGAACCTTTAGAACCCTGAAATCTCAAATAGTGCAACTCCATCTATCAAATATGCTGCAACAGAATTAAGGGGGTGTGTTGTATCTAAGCTACAATTTAACTCACTGTTCACATACTGCAGTAAGTTCAGTATGACTTAATTTATCTTGCCAGTGCTTACCTCCAAGAACAATATACCTGAAGCACACAACCAATGGACAATATTTAGTGTTCAAGCCAGGATAGTCTTCTATTCTTAGCATAAGTAAATGACTTCATTATATGCATGGTATTCTAAAACACCCATTTAAATGCTTCCTCTGTCTAAAGTCAGCTGTGGAGGTGTCTAGTCTAGTCTAAGATTAGAACTCAAACTCTGCAGCCTACCAGTCCTTTAGTGTAAAACCTGGATCCCATGTCTCCTGGTTCCAGAACCAAAATAGTGTTTATCTGAGTGCTCTAGCTTGCTTAGTAGCAGATACAGGACTTTGCCTGTCTTGGCAGTATCAGAACTTTCCTGAAAACAAGACCCAGAAACTGGAATTGGTATCCTTTTGGTAACTGTGTATCCCAGTAAAACTGTCTTTTCTCTTCTCCCCTCCCTACATTGTTTCCAGACTGCAGCAAATGATTTGTTTGGCTCGGACCTCTTTGCATCTACTGCTCCAGAGGCCCCAGGCCTGACTTCTCCTGCAGCACAACCTGCACTGGTGCAAACCAGCCCGCTGGACCTCTTCCAAACCAGTCCTACCATAGGACCTCTGGCTGGGCTAGGTTAGTTCATTACTTTAAGGTGACAAATCAACCTTATCGGCCACTTCAACTTATGGTCTCTTACTTTAAGTCAGACTTAAATTTAAATCTTCTCTTGACAAGAGTGTGCTGGAGTTCCCTTTTCCCTTCTGGCCTCTCATGTTGCATTTTTCCCTACTTTCTTCCTCAGCCTGACGGCATCTCATTAGAACCTATTTCATTGACACTTATATACTCCATCCTCTGTGTACTTAACTGAGTGCTTGCTCTTTTAGCTTGTGGTGTGAACAGACTATGTTGCATGATAAAAACAGAATCTGGTGGCCTACTAAAGAGACTCTTCACGTACACCACAAGATACCAGTAAATGTAAACATGGTACCAAATGTTAAAATAGTACAGGAAGAGAGCAGTCTAGAGATTGACATATTGAATCTCCAGTCCAGTGATTGGCAAAAGTTGCTTTTCTAATCACAGCTAGAAAAATTACCACTGACAAGTCTACACAGCAGCTGGGAGCATGCCTCCATGGATACAATATTTTTAGCACATTAGCTCAAGCATGTGTCTGTCTACCTTCACTGGGAAGCACGGTCCCACCTACAGTGTGGACATACCCTAAGAAACAACATGCTACTGCAATACAAATTGTAATGACTAGCAGACTGGGGGACTTTGTGCAAGGTATTCAAAGTTAAATGCCTGCAGAGCTGAAGTGACTTGCCCAAGGTCACAACAGGTCATTGTCAAATCAAGGATAGACCCAGGTCTCCTGCCCAGTCTGGTGCCCTACCCAGTTGACTACCACTTCTAAAACATGGAGTGTTTCTTGTGTTAAACTGTACATGTATTGGATTGTGGAGCTCTGTAAGTCCATACTTATCTGACAGCCAGAGCAACTGCTGGCAGACTTTGTCCACAGCTGACGACATCTTTATTCCATTACTGTTACATGTTTCTTTAGGTTTCTAATACACTCAGTTGTGCTTTCAGCACTATAAGTTTAATAACTCTACCAAAATCCAGCAGTGCTGAGAACTAGCCCAAACTTTCCTAGTTGTCCTTGCTGTATAGATAATTGGGACAGCTATAACTCCATACCTTAAATATATTAAGTCCATATTTAAGTAGACTGAATACAGTTGGACCCTCAAATTCACTGTTGTCCAATATCTTGGCTCAAGGCCCTGTGAAGGCCTTTATGTGAACAATTGAATACAGAATCTTCACGGGGGGGGAGGGGTGTGGATATGAACTGAACTTTACAGTTTTGGCTTCTGTCCATGACAAATGATGCACAACCAAACTAAGGCTATGGATCTGAGTTAGGCACCCAACCAAGTTATTGTCTCCTGCAGAGTGTGTAGGAGTGGAAAGCAGAGTTCTTTGATTCTGAACACTGGACTCTAAACCAGATTCAGGAGAGCAAAATTTTAATGATCCTTGCAATCCTACTTGCATTGGAGAAGCAAATCTAACCTCTCTAAAATCTGAGAAAATAAGCAGTAAACGTGTGTGGCTCCCCCATGTCCATACAAGGTAGAGTTGAACAGAAATGTTAGTTTCTTTTCACTCACAAGGCTAATACGCAACTAGCTAAATTCAATTACTGTCACTCTGGCACCTTAGAATCCATTGCTACTAATATTATTATTTCAAAGATTAAGTGGAATATTCATATAATAATCACGGACCAGCTCAAATGGATCACAAGTCACAGGGATGTAAGGCTTGGGCTGAGAGGGAACCCAGTTTTAAAAATCTGGAGAATTTCTCATGCCAAATTTTGCTTGAAAATATTAGCTAGGCAACCGTATCACAGAGACAGCCCTGGGTCTATATATGAATGTATGTAGCTAGCTGAACAGTCCATGCAGTGCCACTAACTCTCTCACATGCAGTATCTTAAAGTATTGCATACAAAAGCAACATGTAACCTAGTTGCATCTTAGTCAGCAGATCAATGTCCTCAACTTTGAGGGCTGCTCTCCAAATGACTTAAGGGAGGAAGGCAATAAAATTCAGACTGGGTTGGGGTCAGGCAACTATAGGGAAACATGCCACTTAAGGTAAGAGCAGGAGCAGAAGATTCTGATGCGTAGAGCCTTGGATCTCTGGAAGAGATCCATTCGGCTTACTAACCAATGAGGCTTAAACTATGTGACTTGGGGCAGAGGGAGCTAGGGGAGTTAAATGTGGTGGTGGTGAGGCAAGCTGCTCCTGTATGTAATAGGATGCAGAGGAAGGACTGAAATGGCTGAAGATATTTACATTCAGCATTAATAAACCTTCATTTTCAGAGTGAGTAGTAATGGAATGCATAGGTAACTCGCGCGCTCTCTCTCTGCTGAGAATATAGAGTTCTAGGCTCTTTCCCTGCAAGAAGCAATGGCCTCAATCTTGCACTGAAATCTGCCTTCTAACAATGTGCTTTAAAAGCTAGAGTAAGACCTTGAGTCACTAACAAACCTGTCTCCTTAAGCTATCATTAAAACTGAGTTTAGAATAACTTTTTTTTTTTTTTGAAAATGGGACTAGCAGCACACTAGTCACCTTAGGAAGAGCTTGCCTACCTCCAGGGAGGCATCAGATCCAATCACGCTGTAGCCTATACAAACCTTCTGCACTCAACCAGGTTCAGGTCAGCATGACCCAATGAAGGAAACTTGTTTAGTTTTTGTCTTTGTTTGAAACTCTCCTGGTGACGTGCTGTATAGGCATATTACACTGAATACATCTGTATGATACAGATTCCTACTTGCTAGCAAGACTTATTCTTGACAAGGAGCTAGTCAGGGTTAACTGACATCAAAGGGCATTTTGTATTTCTTGGTTTAACATGCAGTATATCAGTGGTGTCTGGAGCAGACCCTCAACACTTTGACAGAATAAAATCAGATTATCTAAGAACAAGGTTTTTAGAGCCCCCAAATTAAAATGGCTTGTCTAAGTACTTTATCCACTTCATAGGGTGACGTAATAGCTTTTATTGGACCAGCTTCAGTGGTGAAAGACAAGCCTTTGTGCTACAGAGCTCTTGTGAAGGAAGCTTCACAGGCATTGAAGTCTATGCATCAGCAAGACGTTAGATTTGTACTGTGAAAAACTCAAGTAAGGAGCACAAGTATTCATACAGTACACTTACAGAGATGCCTCACTATACCCTATTTACAAGTCTTGCATATAATCTTTCTTAGGTGGCTTGCCAGGAACATCTCCAACACCATGGAGTCAACAGTCCTCAGTTTTCAATCCTACCACATCAGTATTTCCTGGATCCATTATGGGTGCTCAACCTACAGGCTTTACTCAACCACTTGCCTTCGGTGCCCCTCCAGCAGTCTCAGGATGGGGTCAGCCTGCGTCCTTTGGAGCCCCATCACCATCTCAATCTCCTGGTCTCTGGGGTCAGCCAGCACATGTTTCTCCTACTCCTTGGGCACAACCAGCTGCCATTGGAAATCCTTTCCAGACCAGCATGTTTCCATCTACTACACAGCCCCCTGCTATGTTGTCTTCTGTCTCAGCAACTAGCCCTCCTCAGCCACCACCCAGAACTGCACCTCCGAAGGAGCCATCTAAGAAGGAAAGTGATGCCTTCACTGCATTAGACCCACTTGGGGATAAAGAGAAAAAGGATGTAAAAGAAATGTTTAAAGACTTCCAGCTGACAAAGCCACCTGCAGTACCAGCAAGGAGGGGAGAACAGCAGCAAAGTCGTCTTGGTGCTTCTGGAGCTTTCACTAGTTACTTTAATAGCAAAGTGGGCATTCTTCAAGACCACACTGATCACAATGACTTGGCAGCTAATCTATTGTCTACTAAAATCGGTGGTAAATTCCCTTTTCTTAACGCTTCATCAAGCTATAGGGGGAAGAATAAACCAAGACCTTCCCTTGCAAGGAAGCTAATTTTAGACATTAAGTGCCTTTAGATGGCTAGGCTAGCATCTTCTCTTGTCAAGATACTTTCTGTTGCTAGTCTATTAAAGTACAGTCTGAGGGTCATCCTTAATTTATTGCTGCCCAGTACTGCTCTCTAGCATTCATATGTTCTCTAAACCACTCACTTTCAAACCTGGAAACTTTCCAGTTTGAATTATTTAAGCTAATTGGCATCTTTTTTTAGAAATAACTAAGGTGACTCCTCATAAGTAGAAGCTCTGCACAAAGTTTGATTCTAGCTTGAAATCTATCTTCTAGAAAATTACTCAACTAATCCTTCAGGTTCCGGAGGAAATCCTACTGTATATTCATTCAGAAATCAAGGCCTGCCTAGATCTGAGCTCTTTCCACAAGGAAAGTAACTTGTTTAAACTCTTTCACACAGAACCACCAAAGCCTGCTCCCAGACAAAGCACTCTGCCAGCTTCCAAGCCTGATGCCCTGTTTGAAAACCCCTTTCAAACAGATCCTTTCAGCACTTCCTCACAACCCTCTGTAAGTACTAAGCACTGTTTACCTACCCAGTAGTTCTCTGAAGTCTCCTGTCAACACCACACAAACCTGTGCGGGTTTGTCCACTGGTGGGGCACTTCCCATTTGGTGACAAAACAATTCCCTAGCAGGGTCAGCAAATTCCATGTATTCCCATGTTTGACTTCAAATTTGCCTTCAGGGGGAAGGGAGAAAATACTACTTGTGAACCTAAGCCAAATTCTGGATAGCGTTACTAACTCCCAGGGTGAAGGTGCCTTTTTAGTTTTGTGGTATGAGGCAGTTGTGCTTTGTCAGCCATATTGACAAAGCCACAATTCTTTCCAACTAGTTTAGGCCTTCCCCTCTTTGCAGGGTAGGGGGTAAGGAGCATGAAATGTGTAGCTTCTCTGTTTTGGCCAAAGAATGGAGGCCTCCATCCTGGGTATCCTACAGGGAAGGAAGTAGCCTAACCACATTCTGCATCTGGAACATGAGACTTGAAGCCCTTTATGGAAACTCTGGAACTTCTCCAAAATGCTCATTTTTTTTTCATTTTACTCTAAAAACTAAATTTATTGGCTGAATCCCATATGAATATTTAAATACACATGATCTTTGTATAGATAAGTATGAGTCGAGTTAAATAGACTTTAATTCTAACCCAGCCCTAAAAATATACAGTTATTGTTCATTTAAACAGTTAGCTAACTATACTTCTACTGTAAATCTTTCCAGAATGCCTGAAATGTGGGTTGTTTAAAACCACTTGCCCAACATCTCTCCCTCCCTCCCTCTACCTTTCATAGTGTTCAGAGTTCACCAGTTTAGTAGCCCATTGTTTATAAACAATCTTCTATTTTAGACTGCATCTCAGCCATCACCATCTTCTGATCTATTTGATGATCCTTTTGGAAATCCATTTGCATAACTTTGGTAAGTGGCTCTGTGTAATTGACATGTTTCTCAGTATGTCTTTATGGAGAAACCACCGAAGAATTGGAAAGCTAGTCTACTGACCACTTTCCCCATGTGACTGGCATGGGAAGGTGGTCTGTGCTGGAGTCTGGCATTGTGGCCAATACAATTGACTAGCAAAACTATTAGCTTGCCCAGTGGCTGGGGAAGGGAGGAGACCAAGACACTTAACATCTCTTTAAAAGCAAGTATGTTTAAACTTGGAGCAATGCAAATCACTGACCCTAATTTCTAAACTGGAAGAAATAGGTGGCCTCAGTCTGAATTCACTAACTGCATGCAGTGGAAGAGCTAACTCTTCTCCTACAAGCTTATAGAATCTGAGTCCAAGATTATCCACCCACATTGGTTTAATGTCCATGCCCATAATTGCTGCAGGGTAGCTTTCAGTACCAAATTATAGAACAGGGATTCACTACATGTGGTCTGCCTTTAAATTTGTTTCCAGGATCAGATGTCAGGTGACATCTTAAAAAGTAGTAGCTGGTTTTATGAGAATACCCCTCTCCTGAGATCAGTTTAGCTATGCTCTCTAGTATATTCCCGTTGTTTCCAGATTTTTTCTTTGTAGCAGAATGGTAGTTGGCATGCATACATCTGGGTCAAATATGGAAGCAGGATTTAATGCAGATAAGGGAAGCCTGAACCCCAGTGAAATGTAACTGACTCATCATATGAAATATATTGATTCTCTAGGTGTCTCAGCAGACTGAGAAATCCTAATAGCACAGTATAAATGCTGTTGAAGTAACTAAAACTGTTTTTGTTCTCTAACTTATTTGATTTCAGTTTCCTGTAGTAAAGGTTAAAATACAACTTCATGCATTGGAAAAGGAATGTTTTCATTACAGCCAATAAGATTTGACCAGCAGAAAGTTGACTTAGTCCCTTCTGCAAGGTGCACAAAATTGAAAATGGACTCCACTTTAGGAAAAACTCTGCACTTAAACTACAATAGGCAGGATTACTTAAAAATTAGCCAGCTCTTCCAGACTTTGGGTGGATAACCATTTCTAATGCAACAAATGCACTCAGCAGAACCCTGCATAAAAGGCTACACTTAGATCCTACAAGTTAAACAAATCTTCCCCTTGCTCAATTGTCTCAACCTTACAATGAGCAGACAGTATTACCATAACTAATATTTCCACATTTTACTGGAGGTCCTAGTAGTTAAGGTTACCAGCTTCTTGCTGAAGATTTAAGTTTAGACTAGACTAGAATCTCTATACAATATTGTAATCTGGTAAGCCTTTAGAATATTAGGGTGTTGAGAATTGACACACACACACCCCTTCTTGCTTTGTGGTTTTTTGGGGGGGGGGTTTTGGCTTTTTTTGGCAACATCTCTACTAGCAGTTTTATGCGGTGAGTGGGTGAAGTGTTTTTATCACAATTCCTAACCACTTTCTCTCTTTGCCAGAAACCAGGTGTAACCAGCAAAGGACAAATGGAATAACAAGACAACCCCTCCTTGTCACCATTTTCTACTAGTCTTATTTTTCATTGTCTGCCTTCATCCTTGATGCCTATTCTGATTGTTGTTAATGTCTGCTGTGATCTAAAAACTGTCTGTGTGGACTGAAACATGAGCCCTCAAAGAGAACCTGCTGTTAACATAATTCAAGATGAAGCCAAGAAAAATATCCAGACTTTCATGCTGGAGGCCCAGGTTCAAGTTGGTGGATGTGAATTTTTTTCTGTAACCTCTTCAGTTTCTTCTGATTTAAGAACTGCATATATGTCTTGTGGAAACACTGACTTCCCAGTCTTACTGTGGTGTTTTTAAACATGGTCCCCTACACTTAATTCTTGCAGCACTTACTGTAATGGTTGTAATAAGGAGTTGAGCACCCATTTTGAGGAAGAAACTATGCATTCTCCTCCACATAGGGAAAGGGACTTGTGGATTTAGAATCTTGCAAATTCTGCAACACTGTGACGTGACAAGCTTCTTTTTTTCACACATCTGGATTCCACTGATGGCTGTCTCACTCCAAAATGGCAGCCATTTAAAGCTTTTCTTAAACCTCCACTTTTCAATGTACAATAGTTTGTCTTGTATTTATGATTGTGCAACTGGTGATAACTTATGGCTTTCCTTCTGATTTCTAAGTAGTGGGAAAACAAAAACCAAAGTAGACAAGAATCCAGTGCTTGCTAACTCATATTGAAAATGGCAAAATGCCCTCCATCTGATTGTAATTAGTCCCTTAACTACAACATAATTGCAGAATCTGGAAAAGCAGTGGCTATAGAGAACAAACTCCAACACTGTTTCTAACTGACAAATTGTCTAAGCTAGTGTTCTGGAATCTGACCTTGGACCTAAAGCTGAAACACCTCAGCCAAACTTCAACTTGTGTCTAATGCCCTGTGTTTTTAAATCTGCTAAGGGTTGTGGGTCGGGGTGGGGGGAAATCAAATAGAGTGCTGGATTTTTCTTGCTTCAAGCAAGAAACCCATCTGCCAAGCTTTCTTGTTGAATCACTTGCTAAACTTCAGTGAATGTCCATAATGATCTGAACTCAAATCACTTGTTTTGTCACAGACATGGTGTAAGCCAGTTCCAGTATGTATTGGAAGGGCAAATGGCAATCTCTTGTATTGATCTTGATTTCACCTGATGCCTTAGTATTTTGTGAATTTTGATGCACCTCATACAATTTGAGGTAGCTATCCACCTCTCAAAGGAGGTTGTGCCTTCCTTTGTGAACCTCTGTACTAACTGACTTGTATCTAAATCAGTCTCTTATAAACTAAACTGTTAAGGTTACTTTGCTTTTTGGACACAGGCCTAAATCAGCTCTTGCCATTCTGTTGGTGGTTAGTTTCTTACTCGACCATTTATAAGTGTAAACTTGAAATACTATCTTGTCTTTAATGTTGAATTGGATACCTAAACAAATGCTAAACAGAGAATTACTTCTGGAAAATCAATTTGAAGGCAACTTTAGTGACACATTCAGCCAGTCATGCAACTTGTTCTGTATATAACCTTTCTCTTGTGCACTTTCCTACAATGCAATTAAAAGTTATGAATTTATAAGTACTTGTCTCAAACTGGAAATGTAGAAACTTATGGATGTTACTATTATATAAACTGTAGTCTCACAACTAGTAAAGTTTTCTAATGACATTAAAAAGATGCTGCTCTTTATATCAAATGAGTGCGGGTTGCCAGTTTCCTGAAGGAGCAGTACATCAAGGCATACTAACATGCCATGCAGCATATTTGTTTGTTCTGGAGCAAGAACTGAACATCCTAGGAGTTTATCACTATTTAGAACTTCCAATTTTATGGCTGTTTCTAGCCAAACTGATAGACTTCATCAAAGGAATCATAGCATTTTCTATGCTTTCCAGTTAGAATACTTTCTGTTTAGTGGCTTTTCAGGGGAGTTTAATTTGAGAGCAGTTTTCTTTTTTTATATACTTGAAATTCTGGACCAGTTTTTCCTCCATAGCTGTAGAACTTCAGTAAGAGATCCAAATGGTATTGGAGAGTGAGCACTGACTCCTCAGCCCTGTACCACAGCAACTGCTCGACTTTTAGAATGATCCCTCACTACCTTAACCTAAAGATGCTTCAGGCATAGCAAGGGCACTTCAGTCCTTGTAGGAAAAGTTAGGATAGCCTTCCTAACAGGATGATTCAACTACATAGAAGATGGAAGGGTTTTGCAAGGAACCTTTTTATTTTCATTCATGGTAGAAGGAGCTGATGGAGGGTAAGTAATTGGTTATTTGTCTTTTCTGTGTCTCTTTTTATCTGCTCCTAGCCTTGGGCTAAACTCTACCTTGTTTTTGTCAGGTGTCCAAGTACATAAAATACTTGGATGTGAAACCACTCTAAATAGTGAACACATTCCGCTCCTGTGTCTAATACTAGCAGTCCAATGGCTTACATTCAGGCTATTCCCATAAATGGGACTTTTTCCTGTTAAAGTAACAAATACACAGCTGGTCAACAGTCAAAGTTCTGTTAGACAAATGCTAAAAGTAAAAATGTTTAAATATTTATTTAAACCTGACTATTGGACTTGGATTGCTAAAGAGTCAAATGTCTGTCTGCTGGGAATGACTTGCCTCCTGAAATGGTAAATCCTGCACTACAGTATACTGATTAAGTCGATTTCATCTTTGTTCCTTAAACACTTCTAGTTTTGTTTAAACAGTGTACCAGGAACAGTTGTGACTCAAGCCTTTCCCATGAGTCCCCCATACCTAGCACAATTCTTGTTCAGTAGTTAATGGCTTGTGAGTTGAGGAACAGTCAGTGCTTAGAGTAGTGTTTCAAAAAAATCTGGCAACTCCTTTTTACATGTTCTGCAGTAACACATAGCCCTCCACCCATTACTACACAGCATTAAAGGTTACTAGGCAACTCTAGCCTAAGGAATGGTCTCAGGCCAGGTCTACATTACAAACCTGTAGTAGTGTAACACCACTCGGGGGCATGAAAAATCCACACCGGAGGAACATAATTATACCAACCTAACACCTCAGGCAGAGCAGTAGTTTTAAAACTTTTTTTCTAGTGACCCAGCTGAAGAAAATTGTTAATGCTCATGACCTAGCAGGGGTTTGGGGTGTGGGAGGCAAGTCAGGGTGCAGGAGTGAGGGCTGTGGGGTGGGCCTGGGAATGAGTGATCCACAGTGTGGGAGGGGGCTCTGGCCAGGGGCTTGAGGTGCAGGAAGGGCTTTGGGTGAAGGCTCTGGGGTAGGGCCAGGATGAGGGGTTTAGGGTACAGGAAAGGGCTCTGGGTATGGGGGGCTCAGGAGATTGGGGCACAGGCTTACCTTGGGCAGCTCCTGATCAGCAGCACAACAGGGGTGCAAAGGCAGGCTTCCTGCCTGTCCCACCACCACAGACTGCACTGTACCCCAGAACCAGCCAGTAGCAGATCTGGCTCCTAGATGGAGGTGCGCAAGCAGCTCCACACAGCTTTTGTACTGTGGGGGGGGGTGTCTGGGCAATGTAGCATTACGTGTGTAGACCTGCCTTCTCTTTTTTTTTTTTTTTTTTTTTTTGTAGAGACTTTGCCAAGACTACAGTGAGACAGTTTGAAAGAGGAAAAACTCAGAGTCCAGATTTAACCCATCTGCTAGTCTCCAATGCCATTAACAGTGGAAACCTATCTAAACTACTTAACCTAATTCCACTTTTCTAAGATTGAGTTGGCTTTGAAAGTCAAAGATGACAGTCTCTGGTAGAATTGTAAAGGCAGAGGAAAAAGCCTTTAGCCTATAAACAAAATAACCCTACGCACTGCATGTTCAATGGAGCCAAACTAACATTAGACAATTGTGAGTTTGCTACATCCAGTGCAAACTTATAGCTGCTCTGCTGTACAAGGTTTTATCTTCCTGATATGTAGTTATTGCTTCACACTTCTGAAATGGTAAACACGGTTATAGTAGCAGGGGTGACTGATCTGGGTGAGCAAATGGACACAGCCCACGTAGCAGTACATGTCTCAACTACTTGACACTAAAATGTTCCTAGTACAAAATGTCCATAGCCTGAAATCATTCCTACCAGAGAAAACCCTGATTTTTGGGCACTTAAATGAGCTAGTGGGCCAATCCAAAATTAAGAGAGATTCCTAACTACAGGGAAATCCATAAAGGAAACAGCCAAAAGGTTACATGCTCTAGTCATCCCTGGAAAATAGGGCAGTGCATTCAATGTAATATATTGTTCCTGGGCTCAAAGCCCTCAGCCTATATAATGGCCCATGATACCTACAATACTATGGGTAGGCAGCTTCTCCACAATGAGTTTTGACAATGAAACTTTGGCAAAGGTAGTGATCTTGGAAATAGCCACTGATGCACCACAAGTAGCATAGAGTAACATGATTCTTGCAGAATCCAGAACCTGGTGCCATCACAGGGGGAGTGATAGCTCAGTGGTTTGAGCATTGGCCTGCAAAACCCAGACTCAAAACCCAGAGTTGTGAGTTCAATCCTTGAAGGGGCCATTTAGGGATCTGGGGCAAAAATTGGGGATTGGTCCTGCTTTGAGCAGGGAGTTGGACTAGATGACCTCCTGATATTCTATGAGATTAATAGCCCCTTTGGGGGGAGGGATAGCTCAGTGGTTTGAGCTTTGGCCTGCTAAACCCAGGGTTGTGAGTTCAATCCTTGAGGGGGCCATTTGGGATCTGGGGCAAAAATTGGGGATTCGTCCTGCTTTGAGCAGGGGCTTGGACTAGATGACCTGAGGTCCCTTTGAACCGTGGTATTCTATGATTCTATGTAATTGTGAGGTCTGATGGTACAGGGTCCTAGGGACTCATCTGATTTGAGTCCCTATCCTTTTAGATAAACAGGTCCTTCATGACAGGAGGACTGAAGGCCAGAACAGCTGACTCAACCTTATTGTGCTACTGAATTACTAAACTAGTGTAAATGATGAAGTCTTTAAATCATGATTTGAAGACTTCAGTAACCCAGCCAGAGGTTAGAGCTCTGTTAAAGGAGTGGGTGAGTAAGGTACTCTGCCCTGCAATTTATGGGAGTTCAGGCTGGATGATCACAATGGTCCCTGCTTCCCTTAAAGTCTGAGTAGGTATAAATCCTTTGGGCTTGCAAAAAAATCTCTCCCATCCCACACCTCCAAGCCTCCACATAATGATTCCCTAAACATAGACAATTTCTGAATTGTTGGTATTCCTTTTGCAGTATTCTCCAATGGAGAGTTATATGCATTTAAGTGTCTTCTAGTTCAATAGAAGGGCTCTATTCCCTACCTGGTTGGTCAAAAGGGGAAGAATCTCAATCTCTGCTGGGGAAATACTGCAACAAAAGACAACTTGAATATTCATACAGACTTACTTTCCCACCATGCTTTCAGTGAACTCTAGAGCATGTACCATAAGTCAACATTAGCTATGGCCTATCACTGGCATGTCTGTGGGCGTTGCCTTTGTGCCTCTAGTAAGAAATGACACGGAACAAATAAAGACTCCAAATTCAGTCCCAGCAGTTTCTTCCATCCAGCTAAAAAAGCTAGAAGCATGCATGCTATCCTGCAACTTACATGTGCGCTATGTATTTTAGAAGCAACCACCTTGGTTTCAGGAGAGATAAGGTAATTCCTTTCATTTTTTAATTTGTATCAGCAGCTTTGTACTAGATTTTGTTTTTCCCAGAACAGACAGTAAAATGTGTGCATTCATCTACAGGGCTGCCTTATTCTTGTAACCCTTTTTTTAAATGCCACCTGGCAGTATCGGTTTCAGATTCCTTGGATTTTATATTGCATCTGTAGGGCATGATCAAGCATATATGGCTAAAGACAGCAATGATTATATACTGTATGGAGACCATTATTTTAGCTGTTTATGATAAATACAGTACTAAAGTATAATCTGGACTGTTGCTTGTTTTGCCTGACACATTTCTCCCTGACAGGTTTCAGAGTAGCAGCTGTGTTAGTCTGTATTTGCAAAAAGAAAAGGAGTACTTGTGGCACCTTAGAGACTAACAAATTTATTTGAGCAGAAGCTTTCGTGAGCTACAGTTCACTTCATCGGATGCAGTGAGCTGTAGCTCATGAAAGCTTCTGCTCAAATAAATTTGTTAGTCTCTAAGGTGCCACAAGTACTCCTTTTCTTATTTCTCCCTGAGAGATTTTCACTTTTCTAGTGATGGCAATACAGATTACTGATATTTCAAAGCTCCTAGTCTATACTCCATTCTCTCAAGCCAGACCTTATTAATAGTGCATCAGTACCATGTAATAGTGACCAACTCTCTTAAGAGTGGTGCTAGTTATATGGTGTTTCCATAAAGATATGCAAAAAGGCACATTTCAACTCCAGCAGCAGAGTCCTGCCAGCTCAGTGCTCCTAAAGTGAGATTGTCGGAATTACCAAACTGGATCAGATCCAAGAGCCATCTAGTCCAGTACCTTGTCTTTGACAGTGGTGAATACCAGATGCTTTGGAGGAAAGTATAAGACCCCTGAGGTTGTCAGAAATGGGATAACTAAAGCTGAGGAAACTCTTTTTTTTTTAATGAAGTGTTTTTGTCGTCCCCATCCCCCCCCCCCCCAAAAAAGGCTTTTTTGGGGAGGTGGGGGGAGGCAGTCAGAAACTGAGGTGAACTTGACCTGAATAGTTTCAGTTGACAGAGAAAAAAATTGTTTTGACCTGAA